GGGAACGAGAGTCCCTGGAGAAAACCCACACAGATGTGGGGAGATTGGGCAAACTCCACACAGACAGTGGCCCCACTGAGAATCATTTATTTGTCTCTTCAACATTATGACAAAAAGACATTGAAGGAAATGATGTTATTTAAGGATCTTCTGTATCTTAAAGATAATTTTTGGAAAATCATAGGTTAAAATATTATTGATGAAAGTTGATATTGTTCCCAATGTTCAGCTTTAAACAAATAGTCATTTCAATTAATTAATTTAAAGCAACTGAAATCTATATTTAAAAAATAAAAACAGAAACAAGCCCTGACCAACATAGAGTGTATTGACAATCCCCTGAGTGTCCTTCCCCCAAAATCTGTTGGAAATCTACTATCTTTTTGTTCTCTGACAAACCAAAAGAACATCTATAGCTCAATCCTACCCAAATGATCACTTATGAATAATTACATTTGATATATACTTTTCATATGGTCATTAAGTATAACATTAGCGTATAGAAGGAAACAACTGGGAGAAAAAACATTAAAACAGATAACATTTTATTTCTAGTGCTTTAGTTTGGATTCTCTTAAAAAGCAGATCCCAAGACTGGATCAGAAGTACAGGAGAATTTTTAAGGGAGCAGGCTAGAGGAAAGTCTGTAGACTATAGTGCAGGAAGGAGGGAGAATAGAAAGAGACAAATTGCTGCAGAGTTCTGAGAAAGATTCAACCAGGCCAATATGGAATCTTCAAGTTAGTTACCTCTTGGTATTTTTCCACACCTTAGCAGATAAAACTGCCTTACTACCCCACTATGCCTTGTCATAGCGAAGAGCACTCAGCAAGATCCTCACTGTGTACCTGGACAGAGAGTGTCTCCTCTGGGGACCAGAATCTCTAGCACAGAATTATGGGAATGGAAAGCACAAAATCCCCAGTGAGTTCTTAAAAGAAGTGAAAATTGACATATTCTTTCTACTGGGAAACAAATATATAGATATTTCTGAATTAATGCATATCACACTCTAAAGAATGGCTCTCTAGACTTTAAAGTGTCGCCTTTGAGCTGGCACTTAACTATCTTTTTGACACCTGTCCCAGTGCTCTGTGAGGTACACTGCTTCCTGCTCATGTAGCATTGTGATATGAACAGTGGTCCTTTGGTCACATGCCCATGCTCACCTCTTTTGCTGTGAAGGGATCCCTTGGATGAATGGTAAATTGTGTGGGCCTCTGTGCTTCCGGGGCAGATCTCAAATCAGTCTCAGATACGGTGTTGGCTGAGGATAAGCAGGCAGGAAAGCAAACTCATACCCTGAATTGGTCTGTCTCTAAGTAAGTTTGAATTATTATGCTTCTAGAACAGAAAAAGCATAATGTAAGTGACTTGCCCAAGTAGCAAGTTGTTCTCTGTGACTATTATGTCTTTATCAAGGGCTCAGCATTGCTCTCTCCTGACAGTTGGATGTTCAGAGGCAGCAGTGGCTAGATCAGCCTAGGTACATGGTTGTCCTTGCAATTGGGTCTATACCAGCCGCCATCCCTGCCACCAGGGCCACCAGGTTTACGTGTTTATTATACTAGTTGAGGACCATCTGGGGTCCCTCACCCCCTGTATGGCCATTGGTAGGAGCTGGGAGAAGGCAGTGATGAATCCATAATCGGTAACATGGGTGACAGGGGCTACCTGCTCAAGTGGCTTACTCATGCCCTTTTGTCCTACCTACTCAGACTCAACTCCAAATATACAAAATCTGCATTACAATGGAACCCTGTTGAGCATACATAGCTTTCAGACATGCTGGCTCTCTCAGAAGTCTAATATTGGTCAGTTTTGTACTATGGTCATTTGATGTTTCATGGTCAAGTGTTCCATCTCTACTAGGATATTTATATATACTCATTTCTCAAACACTGTATTATTCTCTGCTTAAGATGGCCTGGACTTGCCCCAAGTCCCCAGGGGCCGACATGAGGATTCTCACATTGGAGCTGGCCATTAACTTTGTGTTGCATCTTCTTCTACCACCAACATGGACCAATTCATAGTCTGCTTTGAGAGCAGCCTGGACTTAGAGCAGAGCCCTTTCTCACTCTGAGTGCCAGTCAAAGCTAGCAGCATTCTGTGTCACCTGTTTATGGGCTGGGAAAGTATTCTCAGGTAGGGAGTGTGCTATCCAGAACTCTCAGAGGCCAAGCAGACATTGGCTTCCTTTTCTGTGGTGGGAGATGCAGGACGCAGCAGTTTGTCTTTTACGTAGGGTAAGATGTTACACTATGGCACAAGCTCTGGATGCTGAAAGAGTTGGCAGGTCCCTGAATCTTTATGGGGTTTATCGCCTCCCGTCTAGAGTACACAGTCTTATCAAGGCCATTAGCATATTAGAGTATATCATAACAGAGGGCAGAAAAGTTAGTAAAACCCAGAGGTAATCTGTAAATGAATATTTTTGCTGAATCCATGTGAAGGTGAACAATTTCTGACCTTCTTTTCTAGTTGGACTGGAAAAACAAATGTATATGCCAAAGCAGTGGCAGGCACCATACACCTGAGGCCTTGTTAGTCTGATCCAGTAAGCACTCCAGGTCCAGTACAGCAACTGTGATCGGGACTACCATCTGGTTGAACTTGTGGTAGTCAACATTCACCCTCTTAAATCCCTCAGATTTCTTCAGGGACCAGACTGAAAAATTAGTTTCCTGAGGCCACTATAACAAATTACCATAATCTTAGTGGCTTAAAACAATAAAAATGTGTTTTCTCATGTATCTGAATGCCAGAGGTCAAAATCAAGGTGATGGCAGGCTGTACTCCCTCCAAAGAGGCTCGTGGAGAATTCAACTTGTTCTTGTCTCTTCTGGCTTTTGGTGGTTGCTGGCTTCCTTGTAAGATGTGTGGCCACATCTCTCTGTTGTCTTCACATTGCTTTCTCTTCTTTGGGTTTTTACCACTTCTGCCTCGTATAAGGACGTTTGCCATAGGTTCCACCTAGATAATCTAAGATGATCTCATCTCAAGATATTTAACTTAATTATATCTACGAAGACCTTTTTCCAAATAAGGTTACATTTACAGAGTCCAAGGATTTGGATCAACACATTTTGGGAGGGGTGGTAAAGCATTCAACCCACTATACCACCACTCCTGTGCGCTTTATGTCCTGAAGGAAGGCACTAATCCCTGTCATTCCCTGTAGGACACCATATTAACTTTTCTATCTTGGCTAAAAGTTCAAGTGGTCAGTTTCAGGATTCTACCTGGTCTTTCTCCAAGGCCAAGGAACCAATGTGAGGATATTTCAAGTTCCAACTGCTAATTACATCGATTTTCATCATATGTTTGGGATCTGGGGAAAAGACAATTGCGACTCTGTGGGCTGGACTTTATTGAAAACTGCCATCAGGACTTTATTTCCTAACTTCCCTCCTAAGTCCCCACTTTAAAGAGGATCATGACACATTGAATCTCTAGTTGTAACATTAATTAATACCCTTAGTCAAGTTGTACTCCTCAAAATATTTGGATATTCACTTTTCCTCTGTATATATCACCCAAATAAATGGCCATAAGTCTTCTTGGGAAAGACTGGGAGAATCATTAGAGTATATAATTTTGTGGTCCTGTAGGGTCCTTCTTCCTAGGAACCTGGACATTTCTTTAGTCAATGATTCCAAACCTGAAAATATGTTCGGGTCTTAAAATAAAGAGGGGATTGTAACTTTTTACTGGGAACAACTGTCTTCAGCCTTGTTTTTTTGGCTATAGGTGCCAAGTAGCATCCTTAACAGCTCTCCTATTTTACCTCCAGGGTTGTCATTCTCTATGAAGAAGATCTATAACTCCTTATGGGCCAAACCCCACTGGATCCCCCTCTGACCATACTAGTCATAGTAATTGTGGTCTCCTGGTTTCTAGTAGTCAAGTGCTACCATTAGGCCTTTACAACTTTGGAGAATATAATGATATAATGAGCCCAGTCTGGGTCTACCTCTCTTATCATCAGCCCTAGTGCAGAGAAGCCACCACTGAGCTCCTTAGAGACTCTGGTGCCCCTCCCATTAACACATTCCTCATGGCTTTGGTGAATGATGTATCCTTTGGACCCTCTTATGGAACATAATCCCCTGGTAGGTCTTCTGATTGCACATAAAATATTCATTCCAGCTTACCCACCTCTGTAAGGTTTTTCATTTTTTCCTCCACCATTTAACAAGGCACTTCAGGCCTTTCTTTTTGCTTAGCGTTGGCTGTCATCTTCTCCAGTCTTCTAGGACCACTACAGCAGTGAGTCTCCCATTCCCTTGGTCCTTGCTAAGATATTAAGTCTCATTTCCAAAAATGTGTTTTTGCCTCAATAAATTCTTGCTTATTTAATTTCAGCCTTCTTCACCAAGTAGTCTCCAAAATCCAATCCTGGCATATACCCTGGCCTCTCAGTATATATATACTCAGTATGAGTATATATCATACTCAGTATGAATGGCACAATGTGTATGGACTATGAGGCAGATGTTTTGCAAAGTGCGAGGTAAAGAAAAAACATCCTCATTTTATAATCAGATCAATTTTAGGTATAACAAAAATATTTCTATTTCCAAAAGAACATATCCCATAGCACTGACAGAGAAATAAACTCCATATTCATAATTAGGTTCTGTAAGTGAGTAAAACATATTGTTTTGGGGCAGGACTCATTACTTAATCAATGTTCTATTTGGCATATATCTATGATCAAAGAAATCCACTCACCTCAGATCATTAATACAATGGTGTAACCCATGACAGAATGTCTCACTGGAAGACCCAGAGAGAGAAAAATAGCTTAAAAATGATCCCAAATATGCCCTACTATTAGGGGATATGAATCACTAAACCAAGCATAAAGCATGAGGATGTGTTTTTCACTTAGAAGTGCACAGGCAGGTTAGGGCCACATGAGATTATCTCAGGGAATTGATTGTCTCAAGCTCGAAATACCACTGTTCTGGAGGGAAATAAGGACCCCCAGCATCCTGTCCCTACATAATCCTATTCAGTATGATATTTAGGTCATCATCTGTTTTCAAGACAAGGTAAAGTCCCATCATTGACCTAAGCAAGGTGCTCCCCACACATCTGTACCCTTGGACAGGAATACATGTTTATCAGAGATGGATTCTGGATGCTATAGTGCCAAGGTAGACATGAGTTTCCATGTGTTCCATGCTGAACACCTGGCTGACTTAGACTATATACAGAAACTTTGAGGAAGTTAATTACCTTATTTCAAATCCTCATCTTATTTACTATTTTGTTGGACCACTCTTAATATATCTTCTGTTAGTTTGTGTCTTTCAGAAAATACGTACAAAACAGGATTGTTCATACAAGAAATTTACTGAAAGGAGCAGGAAAAAGTGAGATTGCTTCTCGGACCATGCAACAAGCATAGCACCTATGGAAGTAGAGAAGAAAAAAAGGGGATTAAGTAGGGATCATCTTGAACAGCTGCACAGTTCTCAGAAATCTTCAGTCAGGCTGATAGAAAGCCCTTGAGCCCCAGTATTGCCACTTGGAAAAGATCCTACTGAACAAGGGATGGATTTCAGAGGGGAAGTAGCAGGGCCAGCAGACAAATACACAGCTCTCTGCAGATACGAGTGGCACATTTTTATGGCTGCCATGTCAATTATTAAAACAAGGATTGATGAAAAGTATGATTTTGTAATAGAAAAAAACTTGATTTGAATCCTTGTTCTCTGACCTTGGACAAGATCTGAAACTTTTCTAAGTCTCAATTTTTTCAGCAATAGAAATGGAAATGATAGTACAGTACCTATCATAGTGTCATGGAGATTGTAAAATATGATGGTTATATTAAGCCCTTCTCATGGCATCTGGTAGGTAAATGTTTGTTCCTGTAAATATAGGGACACAAGAGACTTTTCATTGTCTGACCAAATGACTATTTCCTATTTCTGCTATAAAACATGCAAAATTTTGTCAGTCATTAAAAAAAGTTGGAAGCCATTTTGTCACAATATATAAGAGGAATATATATTGACTCACTTAATATTGGTTAAAATAGTATGCAAATTATTACTGATAGGAATTACCACAAAAATATAATATTGGTTAACATCAGTTTGGTATCTATAATTTAATAGTAAAAATAAGTTTAATTATAACTTTTATGACCGGTAAGAAATAGGGTAAACTATATCCTTTGGGCTTTCCTAATAGCTACCTCTTTCAGAAATTACAGCCCACCCCTCCTAACTCTCAAAATAATGTTCAATTAAAACAATGAGTAATTCATTCTGGTTTAATGGTTAATTTCAGAAATTGCAGACTTTCATATTTTTACTGTGTTTAAGATATTATTTTTATCTTCAGCCTACTTTCTTAGATTACTAGGAATGAGAGTTCCAATGTTTACTTTAAAATGTTTCCTCTAAGTTATATTAAGACTATTCCAATATAAACATCTTATATTATCAATAATTATACTATAGAAATGAATTCCTGAATACTGAGAAAAATTAAAGAATAAATAGAACATTATTTGTTTTAATAAGAAATTAAAATAATGGAATTAGATTTAAACTAGAATCTATGAGCATTAATAGATCTATTAAAATGGGTGTGAAAACACTTATTTTCAAATGTATTTCTCATTCCTGTCATAGTAATTCAGTTTTAGAAAAATTTAAGAATGATTAAATCATACAATTTTTTTGTTATTAAGTTTAATTCAACTGTTATACCCAATTCTGTCTTGTGAAAATAACACTGTTCTTATCAACATTACATTGTGATGTAAATACATGTTTGCTGTTTTTGCTACAGCTCTAGAAAAATTTGGCACCAAATGTCCATAAAGATTTAATGCTTAATAAAAATACAGACTAGTAATTCCTTAGTGAAGCTTAGAAGCTGAGAACGGGATGCTAATAGTTAATCAGTCTTCCAGATACTGACAGCCCTAATGTATAGAGTGTTTTCCAAATACAGACAACCACCCCGCATTGGGATCACAGGAGGAGAAACTCCTCTTTTTCTTCTCCCAGGCACTCGAAATGTGCTTCTCTAGCCCCAGGGAGGAAAATGTGGAAACATGAGAAAAGTAAGGCTGGGCCAGCGGCTCTTGGTACACCTCATGCTTTCCTCATCCCCCCAGGCCTCTCTTCCCCTCTTCGGTTTCCCGTCTCCACCCCAGAAATCCCTGCCAGTGGACAGAACTAGAGAGTTCTCATTCACCGGACAGTGCTGGGGGAGCCACAAGGGCCGGTAGTACAATGTCAGGGTTCTTCCTAGCAACCCAATTTGGAATTCATGAATCATTTTCTTGTATATGAAAAAATAAAATGTAGTTTAAATGGCAGCTCATTTTCACCATTAGAACATGTCATTGTAAGTTAAACAAGTTAGTGTATTTGGGCTTAAAAGCTAACCAACACTCGGGCATTTTTTAACAGGGAAAAAAATGCCCTGAATTCCAAACAACTTTCTTCAAAATGACCATTTGAAGCATGGAGAAGACACAAAGTATTTGATAAAGTCACATGGAATGAGTATATCTTGGTTCCAAAGTCAGCAGTACAACTGAAAGGAGGGAAACTCTTTGGTTGGCAAAGCCACATGCAGGTCCCCTCAATGTGCTGGGTGTTAAGAAGTGGGGTTTGGCAGGCAGCTCCCGCAGGCACCAAGTGTCTCAGCCACTGTGATTTTAATTAAACACAGCTGTTTCTTTCTTCAATTTTAATAATGATGAAGACATTTCTATTACCTGGAATTTGCTCTGTAGGCACTTATAATAAAGGCCACACAAACCCTCTCTTCTGTTAACTATTGGTCCAGCATGGGTGAATGGAAACTATACCCCTTAAGAGGCTGAATGAGAGAAACTTCTGTCTGACAGAGTAAAGCAACTCTACTGGCCAGTTGAGCAAACCAGTTAATCTCCTAGACTAAGGTCTCCAAGTCTCTTCTGGAAAAGGAATACAGTCCTGAGGTTCTGCAGAGATTCATAAAGGGTGACCTAAGCTAACTTTTCTTCTTCTTTGATGTACCTGAGAAACTTTTTTCTGGAAAGGGTCAGAAATAGACCAATCAATAGTCACTTATGTAAAGCTGCTGTTTAAGAATAGTTCTTTAAGTATTATTAAACAATTCAAACCTAAGAAACTAAGGTTCTCAACATCTCTTCTACCCAATGGCAACAGGAATAAAGTAAGACACGTGAAGGATTTAAGTGACCCAATTACCTGGACATATCTGGATAGTTTTAGTCTTGCAGAAGTCTGTGGGCTTTGCAGATAAAGGAACTGCCCACAACATTGGTAAAGAGCAAAGGCAAAACTTAGGGATAAGAGGCAAAAAAAGAAACAATTCACAAGCAAAACCAGTCTGTCAATAGATCAAGTCAAGGAACATATAGCAAGGACTCATGGGCAAAACCAAAGGGGAAGGATTGAGGGAGGGAGCAGGGGAGGGGGCAAGGGAAATTGGTGGGGGGAAGGCAGAGACAAATGTATTTGAAAAAATAAATTAATTAATTAAAAAAAATAGATCAAGACCAGTCCCTCCTGGGTGAAAGGCAGAGATTTCTGTCAGATCACCACATAGGATCAGGGTACAAATCTCTCCATAAAGCATAAGACTTAGAGCAATTGTTTGGCTTTTGTTGACAGTGGCCAAGGAAAAGCAATCAAGAAGTTTCAGGAAAAGCCTGCAGAATACACTGTGCCTGAGTGCAAAGGAGGCCTTGGGGCTGAGCAGCAGTGGTCCCAAGAGCAGAGACTAATATTTTGGCTTATGTCCAGCATTGTTTTTGGATTTCTTTCTAAAGCTTTAAACTTTGCTACTATGTTAAGTGATTTCTAGATACCCAATCGGCTGGCAGATTGGCGATACAACAAAGACAGGGATACAACTTCATCAGGCTCCCGTAGCCTTGCATCAGCTCCCACCCCACCCATCTGAGAGTTCCTCTCACATCCAAAATTACAAATGAGTGTTCACCAAGGAGTCACATCTCCCCACCCCCTACGCCCACAAAAGGTATGTTTTTCCACAGTCTGCAAGGCGAGGTCCTCTGCAGCTCTCCTGGTGGCCACAGAACCTGAGCTGTGACTTTTGATACACAACAGACCCTCGCCCCACCTCGGTTCCTTTGGGCTAAAGGAAACTGTAATTGAAATCCTACCTTTCAAGTGTCTTATCTTGCTACAAGGAAAGCAATAGCTTCTCTAGTCAAAGGAGATGCTGGATTTGCCTCCAAGTGGATTCAGGACTTTGTTGTGAAATCCAAGCAGAGGCCGTGAGCCCAATATGGGCTCATGGCTGTCAACTCTGGGTGTGGGCTGGGGCTCCCGAGCATGGTCTGCTTCTCTCGGGCCACCTTTCTCACCAGGCCCTTCTCTGGGCAAGGTGCTCATTGCAGCTTGAAGGTCCAATTCTGGGCCTTCTTCGCACAAGAGCACGCAGTCTTTGGGTTTGTCTGGGTATGGCAAGGGTAAAGTAGCTGTTACTGGCGATCCAAAAGTGTCAGTCGTCTTCCCACCAGGTGGGTTCAGCTGCTGTTGAGTGTGCACAGGCGTTGATTCCTCAAAGATACCACTTCCTTTTGCCATCCCCTCTGCCCCACCCCAGGCAGTTGGTTCCCTTAGGAATGTTCTGAGGTTCTTCAGTTGGTCCAAAAATATTCGGTGCCATCTGGTTGTGTTGGTTTGAAGGGACATTTTCTTCTGGACTTCTGAAAAGATCGCTTGAGGCTCCTTCCAGAGGCTTCACGGCCCTGGAGCCAGCTCACCGCCCTCACTCCCCCAAATACGGTGCACGTTGCCAATGCTTGAGCCTTGTTGCCTGCCTCGCTATGGTTCCCACCAGGCTCCATGCTTCAGACTGCTTTTAACTGAAGTTGCCAGTTACATCACCTTTTCTTTTTTTTCCCTTCTTTGGCTCACTAAATATGTTTAATAAAATATTTAGATTAACTCTCAAGGTAAAAACATTACATTGGTTACTGTTTAATTTGCAAACTAAATGCTCAAACTGAAAAGAATGAAGGTAGGCATGATGTATAAAGTATTGCTTTAATAATAATAGTATA